TATTACTGAAGCAGATAATTGTGCTGTGGGGTACAAAAAGCTATTGTACATTTTGAAAATGGACAGTGGATTTTAAAACAAAATAAAGGGTTTGGATTTAATCAAAACTTTGAACCACATACTGTACCAACTGTATTCGAATGTAGTTGTTTCACTGGGTAATTGCAATGATCCTCTGGAAAACAGAAACCCACCTCCAAACACTGGGTTTATAATTTTGGATTAACAAAGAAGTCAAAGTTTTTATTGAAATCAAAGTCCTGCTCAGGATGCAGCCTTTCACATCTCAATTTCAAATATTGTTTTTTTTAGGTGGGCAACCCCCTTTTGATGTGTAGTTTTGTTGTACTCCAATTAACAAAACAATACTTTGACCTAATACAATTCCCTAATATACTGTAGATCAAAGGGTTATCCTAGATGTTTGTATATCATGCTGAATTAGCTCTAATTCAAAAGGTTAAACCATAGTTTTTCTTTTTGAATTATTTAACTATTCTCTTTTTGACTTTGTGAGATAAACAGGTAGAGCTATATTCTGTTTTGGCGAATATACATATTTTTGGTCTTTTAAATCTATGGGAAATTTACCTGTACATCTGCCAATCTGCTGTTGGCTCAGGGGCAATTTTGTTTTTGTCAGATTATCCCCCTCAACCCCCTGATACCTGGGTACAGCGACACAACAGTAATATGAAAAATCGATGACTTCTGTCTTCTGAGGTGATCTGGGGTGAACGGGGCAGGCATGTCATCTCAGATTTTCAAATCTAATAAAAAAAACTAATAAAAACTGAAATAGGCCTTTGACTTTTTTCAAGATTTTTGTCAGGATTTTCTAGGGTGCCAATGCCCCTTGACTAATGTTTATTGCTTCATACGTTTTTTTTTTTTTAATATGCTTCTCTGTTGTATTTCTAACCTCTTGTATTTCTACATGTAGAGAGAGGCAATCATTCTTCTGTATTGTGGATGGCAGATTTAAGTGAAATGGTATATTTCAGTATTTGATTTATTGGTTTAGCACTTGAAATTGAGTTTTCAGACTCTTACAGTGGCAGTATAGATATGCAGAACCACATTTCTGCTGGTTTCAGAGTGCAACAAAGGCAATGGTTCATCACGATATCTGTCATTTTAAAGCAATTAAAATTCTTGACTGCTTTGCTTTCTGCTTGGAATATTTGGAATATTTGATTCCGAATTCATCATTTCTGATGAGCTGCTATATAACCTCAATTTTAACCTTCAAGATGCAACTCTTAATTGCTAATGGCATTTGCTTCCTGATGTGTCATTAGCAATTAATGTGCTGTAATCTGAATTAATTGCATGCCTTGCAGAAATTAATGTACTTTTCTTAATACTGTATAACGGAGCCATCAAGCATGGATTTGATTTTTGGAAAACAGATTCTGTGTAAAGTAATTAAGCATCATTTATTAGTTGAGTAGTTTCTCAGTAAATGAACTTGATGATTACATTTTAAATTAAAGTTTTTTTTTTTAATTCTCAAGGGTTGTTCAGACATTCTTTTCAGGGCTGTAAAGTTATACCACTTTGTTTCTGCTGATATTCTTTACATTGTCATAAGAACACATAAAAACATTTGTAAAAAATTCTCTCTGTCACTTCTAAAGTTTCTGAGGAATCCAGCAATTGCTCTGTGAGCAAGCTTTTTACTTTTTGCCTCTGATAGTTGCATAGCTGCTACAGACGTTGTAGACTCTTCCTTACCTTGATAAGAAAATAAAGAAAAGTAAAGACACCTTTTAAAAGAACAAAATATTGCATCTGTTTTACATTTCATCATGAAATACATATTATTATTATAATTATATGATTATATGCGAGGGTGGCACTGCTGTACAGTGGTTAGCGTTGCTGCCAACATTTGTGCATGTCTGTGTTTCTGCCCTGCTTTAGACAGGAGTTCTGTCGAGGGTGTATCCTGTTCTGAGCCTGTTGCTTGCTAGGGTATCCTCTAGCTTCCCTGCGACCCTTCCCTGTGACTCTGTGTTGGATAAAAGGGTTAGAAAATTGATAGATGTAATTATACATTTTACAAAAAAAGATTTATCTGTTATAAATTAATACTGAAATGCCATTAATATGATAAGTTGTATGAAATGTATGGTTATTAAATTAAAAACAATTTTAAAAGACTGAAATGTTTCTTCTGTTTTACATTTCATCATGAAATATATTTTATCAAATTATATATTTATATATAAGGGCAGGACTGTTGTGCATTGCTAAGCATAGCACTGCTTAGCTTTCACCTGACTGAAAAGGACCGTCTATGTTTTTGTCAATTAGTAATTAGTTCCATTTGTCCATTTAATCCAAATCTGCTCTTACAAATGGAACTAATTATTAATCAAAGCCTTGTTTTAGTCTTGTAAGCATAAAACTTTACTCTGGAATCTTAAACTTGAGTCATAAATAAAACAGGAGATAACAGTCAAATGTTGGATCTCTAGTGCCACTACCTGCTTAGATCCCCTATTCATCCAGGGCTTTACGACTCGTGTGTAGTTGCTGCAGACAAGCCATCCATTGGAAACGTGAGATTTTCCTGGATGACCTATCAGCATGGCAGACTATGGTTAGGGGAATCAGGATGATGTAAACTTTTCAGCTCCAATTACTGTATCAACTTCTTTTGTTGACTTCTTTTGATATCCTGAAAATATCCTGAAATGATGTCCTGAAAATGTCCTGTTCCCAGCTAGTGAACTGCAGACTGGCTCTTGTGCTTCTAAGACAATAGAAGGCACAGTATAGTCGACAGGAACTAGTCACTCTGTGACATCTACCACAATGTTCATCTTTTAGTTATTTGCTATGATTGATCTCTAGAGTGCTCTCAATGAAACAGGGTTTTTAGACAGGCTTCAAATAATCTAAATGAATGCACACATTCCGATTCTCAACAGAATATTTTTGTTACAAATTACTTCTTCTTTGAGACTTTGCCTTCCCCAGTGAAACAATTTCAGTTCACACAAAGGAATGTAATGCCACAATTAAATTTTCTCTATTCAGAAATTCTTATTTAAAGATGATTGTTCTCCCTCATCAAAATTCTTGCTTGAAATTTGCTTGTGCTTGTGGTACTGTAATTTAACTTTAACAAAAAATGTGTTGAGATTCACTTTCTGTCTGCATATGAGTGTTTCTTCAGCTCAGTAAGTCCTTCTGCCATACATCACAGATGGACTCAGTTATGCTGATGGGAAAGATAGCAGGATGATGGTTTAAGTAAAATACTGGCTCACTTGCTTTCTAGTCACATTTAAAAAACAGAGTCTGGGAGAGCCTTTCTTTTCTAATGTGGCTATTTTTTCTACAGCAAATTTGGAAGTGATGTCTCTTCTTAAGAATGTTCCCCATGATAAATGTAACAAATTAGTATTTTCCACACTTTTACCGTGTTTTTAAAAGATCTGCTGTGTTTTATTCATGGTTTCATCATGCTTTGACCCTGCCTTAAGCCACTGGACCATGAAATACCCTGTTGAATCATGTAACCTCTTTCTAAATAATGTTGGCTCGAGAGTGTCATGGTTCAATCATGTACCAATTACAGTGTCAAATGTAAAAATCTCTGCAAAACTCTGGTAAAACCATAGTAAATTAATGAAAGAACTATAGTCAATTTGCCAAAATATACTTTCGTTTGTGTTTTCTGAACATGTAATTTGCAGCTTTAAAGGGAGTAACCTTTTTGAAAGTATTTTTGGCAACTGTCATTTTGCTTTTAGTGCTTTACTATTTTGTCAAATGCCAGCAATTGAATTGTGGTTTAAAGATTTTTATTGCACTTTCTAGAATGTAGAGTGGTGAAGTCCACTTCGTACAACAAGATTGCCACGATGCAAAGCAGAACTGCTGGCAAGAGTCCAGGACCCTCCAGGCGAAGCAAATCTCCAGCCTCTACTGGCTCAGGTAAGCAAGAGCTCTTGAAACACTGTATTCTCAGGAGGTACATCTCAGCTTTAGCGAAAATGGTGTCCTTATTGTGTCCAAAGGCAGTTAATCAAATGATAAATAATGTGGTCACAAATACGTAAAAGCATATTTACATCCATCTAGCACCAGGCACCAGAAAGATAAGACCTGACCTTTGCACAGCAGGATGGGAAGGATGGTGATCATGTATTTTCGCTCACTGCTCAACAGGCTACAATATACGAATGAGGTCTTAGAAAAAGACGTTGACTGTCTCAGTGGACAGTGTTCAGATTACTGACGCGTTCAACTATGTCCTAGAAACACTTCTTTTTTCACTTGGATACCTACTGCATGTATCTTTGCATCTTGGTATAAGAGGGCTCTTTGTTAGAGACTAAAAATATACTTGTAAAAAGTATTCTCATTTTGATAATATAATGATTACAAAGGTATTGTTCTGAATCATTTCAAGTTATTTGTGAAGTTAATTGTGCATTGGAAAAGTGTGCCACATTTATGAGATCATCTAAATTGTAATTTTTTAATTAAAGGTTTTAATTTTCATTATGGCCTGAAGTTCAAGAAGGAATTACGGTTAACCCTCTAGTAGTCTTGTAGTCCACAACAAAATTAGTTAGAAGCAAAGCAAGGCAAGGACTCGTGTAAGAGGGCAAAGCTGCTTTTTTCAAATAAAATGATCTTATTTAATGTGATACTATACATTGTAGGAAAATTGTGTTCTTTGTTTCCTTTGCTGTACATCAGACCCTTAGAGTTCAATGCCTATGGCATCTCAAAGAGTAAGGTAAGGTCTTTGGGTCTTTAGTGATTCTGTAAAATTTGCATTTAGTAATCAGCTTTATTATTCTAAATACCTCATCTTCAATTATATTCATAACAGGTATGTTGCTGCTAAAATATTTAAAACTTACATTTATATATATATACATTTATATTACGATATATTCCTGAATCTGTAACAATGAGGCTTTTTCATATTCTTATTTCGTATTTTAAAATTTTCTTCTTAATGTGAGATGGCAGAGATAAAATGGAATACACCCATTCCTTACATTCCCTGACTAAATCAACAAAGGAATGAAATCTGTTCCTTATGGAAAAGGTCATAAAAGCTGTTAATATCTAGCTAAACTCTATGTTTTTTATGGTTAAGATGATGCACTGTAATTCTAACAGTGTTGTGCTTTACTTGGTTTTGTTGTCAGACTTACAATTCAACTTCACACGAAAAATGATCACTCGCAACACGTCTAATGTGTTTTTTTTTCCATGAGTAAGAGCTGTGAAGCCAAAGTGAGTCAAAGCAAAAGCTTTATCTTTGAAATATGATAGAAAAAGCAAGGAAATGTGTTTGTGCATGCGCACATGCACGCGCCGGTTGGAGGAGTCATTGTCTCCAATGATTCAGTGAAATTGTTTCAGAAGAAATTACTGCTGTGAGAAAAGTACATCATGGTTACCATAGAAACTAGGATTAGGCCTCTTGGCGGAAGAAGCACTTACATTGCTCATATATGGCTCTCAGTTCCTGGTCGGCTTTGCTCTCATAGCACATAGACCTGCTGTCTGGACTTAGGGAAGGAAATAATTCCGTATTGGATAACGTTGATTGCCAGTTGCATTTCAATTTGTTTGAACTTGATTTTACTTTCAGTAGGAAACTGGCTTCCATGAGAAAAACTTTTAATATGTATAAGTGAAGGACAATGTACAGTATAACAGGTAACTGTTGGGCAGCAGATTGTGCCTAACCCCCTGTGTTGCTGTTTTGTTGATGTACAGGAAGAAAACAAAACTAAATAACAACCATGTTATCAGAAAACCATTTCTGAATAGCCATTGAAACTAATTTTAGTTTATTTGGTTTATGAACGTACTGAATATATCATTGAAAAAATGTATGTGCAGTTAAAATTCTAAGTAAGTGCAGCTAAAGTCTGGGGGACTGATTTTGTAGGAATTCACCCACACACTCCTACATATGCCCCAAGATTTAGCTTCACATCCTTGTCATTTTGTAGGACATTGTGGAACACATCTTCTATCAATAAGGTACCACAAAGGAGCTGAATGATGGTTTTCCAAGATAATATGAAAACGTATAATACTCTCATGTTGTGAACTTTCATAAGGTGAACATTTAGTAGAAATGGTGAAGTAACTTCTGAATGGAAACACTTTACATCTCGTCCTTAGAAAGGTAATGGGATAGCATTGAAAGATGAAATAGAATCTTATAGATAGTTTCCAAACAGTAAAGGAATTACCCTGTTATAAAGAACAGAAAAAAAATACTATATTTGAAAAGGGCGTGAATGTCTGTAGAAGATACACCGGAGACTGCTGTTTGTGTTGAAATGACATTGATTTTTTTTTTGCTTTTGTGTCACCTTGACCTACATGTAATTAATTCATGGAACCTTGTGTTACTGAGGGCTTTTTTGTATGCAACAATCGACATAGAAGAAAATGTAAGATACAGTACACAGTTTTCATTTATAAAATCAAATGTTTTCCTTTTTACTTGCATGTATTATTTTCAGAGAGGTCATTTCGTTCTTTTTCTCAGGTTCACTGATGGAATTAGTAGCAGCAGATGAAAGACCTTCCAAGACTTAAAGGTCTAGAATTCATTTAGATGTGCTATAGCTCTTTATGTTAAGAAAGCAGACAGCATATCTGTTTCATTCATAAAATACTTCAAGCATTCTGTAAATGCTTAATGTCATTTGAAATAAAGCAGTCTTGGATGTATTCACTTCATTTTTCAATTCACATTCTGTAGCGTTTTCATGTACATTGCTACATTTGAGCCTTTTACCTGAAAGCTTCATGTGTTTGTAAATGTACAGTAAATTATGGAGGAATTAATGTAGAAGAATGTTTTCTGCTTCACATTATCATTCTTTCAGTTTTGTTGTCTGTTTTATCTCTGTAATTTACTGTGAAACAATCTGTACTTATGGAGTTAAGTTTTGAAAAATTGGGAAACGTATTCATTTCTAAATTAGTTTTTTACATTTGTTTAATACTGTACATGTTCACAGCTAGTTCCTTATGCCAGTAAGGGTAGTTTTCAATCACTACCACTGCCAAATAATTTGTACTTTGTTACATTTTTTACAACTAAGTATAACTTTTATGTACAGTATATATAAATATGTACAGTATGCTATATATTATTAATATATTAACACATTAATCCATAGCATTCAGCTGCCTTAAAAATTGTTTGAGCTACTCCATGCTGCAATACTCCTTTTGAACAAAAAAATTGTTATGCAGTGCTTTGGTGATTGTTCCTTTAAAAGGGCAACTGTATTTTAAATCTGAAATCAAGAGAATTGATTTATTGGGACTACGCCCACGCAATCCTCCACATTGTAGTACATCATTTATCTATTTTTAATAAACTGTCCAGCTTTAATAGTGAACTGCATCAGTTTTATGGGTGTTAAAACCGTACCAACATACAGTCAATTAGTTGTTGTTAATTAACATAATCCTATATGGAAAATGGCAGTATCTCAGCTTTTTGGAGGTCCTACAGTAGATACCACAGCAGATATCACTCTTCTTAAACACCTATGGTCTACTATTATTCTCCTATTGTAAAAGGACTTGGTAATGGCGATTACGATATGCTTTTAATATTCTGGTATTTTCAGATAAATAATCAAAACGAGACCAATTATAACTACAGTAATCATATTTCCTGACTATAACTCACTTTCAGGGTGTTCCCCCATCACAGAGAAATCTTAAGCTCCCTGCACGTGGAAAATTAAATTTAGTAGTAGAAAGTCTTGATTTGTTAACCGTATTAGATGAACAAGTTAAGAGAAAGTTTAGACAGATTTGTCTGTGACATTCCATGACTATCAATAATCGCTTATCCACTTCAGGGTCATGGTAGCCAGGAGCCTAAACTGGGAACCATTGGGCGCAAGGCAGGACACCAGTCCATTCCTGGACACACATACACATGCTCACTTCAGGGTCAATTTTACAGAAGTCAGTTAACCTACTGTACAGTACGAGCATGTCTTTGGACTGTGGCAGGAAACCAGAGCACCCAGAGACATCCACGCAGATAGCACCCCAGAAACTGAACCCAGGGCACCAGGCAGAATATTAAAACAAGCCTTGAATGCTCTAGGTATTGTTCGACTGATTGATTATATACATTTAGAGAGCCTGCAGTCATGTATTTCTGTTTAGTTTGCATTAAGAACGAACGTAGTTTGTCTTGTTAAAGCAATGTATTTGTCCTGCTTGTACATTAGCATTTTACAGTGCAGTAAACTGTAAAAAGGAAGGTTGATAATAGCGACTTCTACATAATGGAATTGAAAAAATGTTCAGAGACAATGAATAGAGGAAAGCCATCTTGATCCCCCATCTTCTAACTACAGTAATTTTAATTAAATCTAATGAGACATTTGCTGTATCTAGAGATAAGGTAACCGTTTAACCTTTCAAAGCTTTTGTCAGGATTTTAGTCAGGTAACATACCTCAACCAATTTCCTTGAGCTGCTGAACTGTAAAATACTGTTTTGTCTAAAATCTGATATATATAAGTGATAGAGTATATGAGGACCTAAGGTTCCCTTCACAGAGGCATGGTTATGTCTATTTTGCTCGCTTCAAAAACTATACTTCAGCTAGGAGTTGTGGGAAATGTTCACCTTCAGTTACGTGTGCCTGCATCCAGAAATTCATTAACTGCAGCCCACAGAAGTGTGGGAAGATCATATTGAGCATGTAGGAAGGCTGTGGGAAGCAGCAGGATCACATAGGTGTGAAGGTGGTGATGGAAGATGATGAGGATAGAGGAGTCCAGAATCATGAAGAGGAAAGAGACTTGGCTGCATTAGAAAATCTAGAAAATGAGGTTTGGTTTGTGTGTTTGGGAGCTTTCAGATTCCCCAGACCTGTCTAACATCTGCCATGGTGACTGTACTTGAAAATT